TTCAAAATATTGTGTACTTTACTTTAAATAAAAAAATCGCTTACTTTGAACACCGAACCGACTTAACTAGATATATCTATTTAAGTTGGTTTGGGGTGTTTTCCAGTGTTTTCCTTAGGTACTTTTATTGTTTTTATATAAAAACAATAAAAGTAGCTAAGGAAAACACTGTTTGGACATATGCCTATCATAAATATTTTTGACGCCGTAAATACATCATTTTGCCTTACGTGCATCGGTCAATCGCAAACAGCGATGGCATAAAAAATCACGACATAATTTTCATTTCTCACGCAGTGACATCCGGATGTTGTCCGTATGAATAAAATTTGTGAAAATTACGACGTGACGTTCGTATGATTTTCATTTATTACGCGGTGAATTCCGTATGATATCAGTATGAATAAAATTTGTGAAAATCACGACGTGATGTTCGTATGAATATCACGAATGTTGTCCGGGTAGGTTTTAAATTCGCAGTTCGCAGGGCTCATACGCAAGCGCAAATTTTGCAAATATCACACCGTGAGTTCTACATGATATCACTGTGATGAAGCATGTGTATGCAATCAGGATATCACAGCGTGATAAAAAAAAACACGTTGTGGTATCATCATGACTTCACCAGGAAATCCCGATTGTTGTCCGGGTAGTTACGTTAGTGTGTGTATTTTATCAAAGGGATCATGGTGAATTATTGTGTTTTTAATTGTAAATAAAATTCAAGAACTAAATCGTTGCATTTTCATGTTTTGCCAAAGGATCCAATTCGGTAAGTACATTTGTTGGTGCAGAATTAACTAATGATAACTTTACCTAATATAATTTATATTTAAGTTTGGACATTTTTAAGAAATTAGTAAAAAATAATTTTTGCATAACATTACCTTAAAATCAATCATTTTTATATTTGAGTTCTCTAAAAAACGCCTACAACTGCATTTTAAACAACAAAATATAACTACGAATTCATGGCAACATAATATTATATATAATACATATATAATAATATAATGGTATTTTACAGTTGAGTTGAGACTTTAAAGAATTCTTCATCAACGCTTTTAATAATTTTAAATGCTGTTTAAATTTAGACGACTTATTTGTTTGACTATTTTTACTGAATTGAAATGTTTACACTTTTCACGTTAATCACTACTAAAATGTGTATTTATTGTATCTAATAGGTACAATTTATATTTACAGAGACTGTATGCAATTTATTTCTTCATTCAGATTAACACTGTTTATTGGAAAACCGGTAAAAACTTATCCCAGGATTTCCTCTCGAAATACACCCAACAACACAATCGATCCACGGTTTTCTTTTCGATCGAGGGGTAAACCGCAAAAGAAAATGTATACACTAATTCCCAGGATTGTTACGAATTCCTCTATTTCCTCACTAATTCCCCTTAAGCCGGGAATACATCTGAGAAACGTTGCCATTCGTTCGCATTCGCTGTTATTGCCAACATTGCTGCTCGTTTGCGCTCGTTCGTAGGCATTCGCGGCAACGTTGCTTGGTAGACTGACACATTTGCGAATTGCATGCAAAAAATGCCAGAAAACATTCATACTCATTCGCGGAGCTAGAAATCGTAAACAAATAGCAAGTCTGACTTCTGGTGGAATTGCATGCTTCTCTGAAGTTTGTATTCCCTTTAACAATTTCTGGTTTAACCATTTCCAGAAGGAAGCTAAAATTTTCTCGAGACATTCTAGTAAAGTTTAAAAAAAACGTAGGATTTAAATCGGCTAGTAAGTTCATACCATCATATCTTGTTCTACTCAAATATAAATCATTCATCCAAACAAGTCCCTTTTTCCTCTTCTGTTTTTCTTTTCGTCGTTTAATGATTTTATGGATAATTAGGTATATACGAGGCTCAGGCCACTATTAAATGATTCTCAATCATTTTTAGCATTCATGTACGGAAACAAAATCAATTTTCCTCCCTGAATTGTAGCGAAGTAACAACGTTCGCAGACATTCGCAACTCGGATTTCCTTTTGATCTTTTCTTTTTTACCGACAGACGATGGAAAACGTTCGTTTGCTGTGCTGGCCGTTCGCACCAAAATTTATTCGTTGCGAATGACCACAAATGACCATCCACACTTGACAAACGAATGCGAACGAATGCAAACGAACGCGAACGAATGGCAACGTTTCTCAGATGTATTCCCGGCTTTATATATTATAATTTCATTTTAATTTAAAAAATACCTAGTAATTCCTCTAATTCCCTACTAATTACCCTAATTTTACTAATTTCCGAGCTAATTCCCTACTTATTGACCAAATCTATTGTGTAAACTAGGCCACAAAAAGGTGTACAATTTTAGTAAAAAAAATTCCGTGAACATAAAAAAAATCACTTAGTTCAAAAAATTCCCGGGAACTTTTATTTTTTGAGGGTTCATTGTCATTGTTAATACCATGAATTTTTTTGAATTTAGTTTTCTGTCTGGGTTTTTTTTGAGCATAAAATATATTGTTTTTTCTTTTGTTTCAAATATTGACCATTATTATTATTAAATAATAATAATAATAATAACTTTATTAACGGTATGACCAATTTACAATATATATACAAATACAAGAATCCTATACAACACAATGTAAACAATGCAATAAATATATACACATATACATATATTACGACACGTTAAAAATTCGTTCTGAGCACATAATCCAAGAAAACCATAGAAAATAATTTAAGAAAATTTAACCTTAAAACCAAAATCCTTTTTTGTTTTCTATTTAATTCCTACAAATGTGTTTGCTTATTTTAATTTTTTTAATATGTTAAAATATTTACCAAGTTAAGTAATAATGAAAGAGAAAATAAAAAAAATTTAAAGAACGGAAAATTTCCAAAATTTCCCACCTTTCGTACTATTATAGATATATTATGTAAAATAAATTAAGCCTATCTTCATAAGAAATCTCGTTCGAAATTAAGTCCATAACCTCATCCATAACTTTATCGTCCTCATTACTAATATTTGTTTTTGCCACATCTTGGGGTTTTCGACAATTTCAGCGTTGTCTTCGTCGGCGTCTTCATTATCCTGTGTAATTGCAATATTTTGTTTCCGTCTTATTAACGTTACCTACCTGCATATATTTACAATCGTTTTCTTTTGCATTAATTCCAAGATGTTTCATGTCCTCTATGACATTTTGTAGAGCTTTTTTAACTGTAGATTTGATATCCAAATTTAAAATTTCTTCTTCACGTGGTAAATTTTCTTTCATTAGTCTGGTTTTTAATCTTTTGTTTTCGCTTGAAAATGTAAACGTCCCCCTCAGATCGTTTATGGTATCAGTTGTCTTAATTCTCTCAATTTGGTTCAGCATATCCTTTATACTAAAATGTATTATTGTTGAATACATAGAAGTCATGGATCTGGCAGCCCGAAATAAGGATTCACATGCTTGGCTACCAAAAATGCCGGTGGTGAACAAATCTGGTTTTAACTCACCGCTGTTAAGGTTCAGTATTAGTTTAATCAAAGCATGGGCGTTTCGATGCTAAGGTTACAATTACTGGTCAAAAAGATGTCTGTTATTTTATATTCTTTTAGTTCTTTAATCCAGGCTCTCCAGATTCTAGTAAAAAATACAACATACCAGATGCCATATACCTAATCTAGTATGCAACACAGTGCTGGAATTTTAGAACGACGATTCGATGTAGTACATTAGCTTGAGGTACGCCTAGCTATATTTACTTTGTGGAATTTCCTTATTCAGTCGTTCAATTACTATTAAACTGCACATTTTTTCTGCGGATGCAAAATTCATCTTGTCTTCACTTTTGAGATCCGAATCTGTCAGGTGATGTTTGTCTTTTGGAAACTTTAAAATTAATTCCCTGAGATGACCAGAGAAGGCAGTGTATTTCCCAATTGGCAGATGTATTCCTGGGTTTAGGAAACGAGTACTAATTTTTGATAAAATATGGGTGGTGTGCTGTACACAACATACTTCATTTTTTTCAATGCTGCCGTGGTACCACTCCCAATCTGGAACTGGCAAAGAATGGAGTAGCTCTGTAACTTCCCGGGTTCTTTTTGTTTTTTTCTAATTTCTTTCTAATTCCCCACGAATTCCACTATTTTGCTTACTAATTTAACGAGTAATTCCCCAAATTCCCCACTAATTCCTTTAATTTTCCACAAATTTCTCTAATTCCCCACAAATTCCTCTAATTTCTACAGATTGTACACCAAAATTCCCCTGCGGTTTACCCCTCGTTTTCGATATTTTTTAACATTATCCGGCTTTATTCTCAAAAACAATCGTTTGTAACCTAAGCGTTTGACAGCTGATTATTAAAAGTTCTACTTTTGTTACGATGCCTACTAGCGATACTTCTTTAGCGTATAACCGATTATTAAAGAAAAAAGGGGGAGCTACAGTTAAACAATTACTTGCGTAATTTTTTATCTTATAAGTTGTAGGTATACCTATTATAATAGCGTGTTTAACAACTTTTAAATGACAATTTTTGCGATAGCGCTAATATAAAAAATAAACTCTTCTCAAGGATTGTCACACCGGAGGGGGAAAGGATTTTTTAAAACATCACAAGACGAAGTAAATTGATTGATTTTATGAACAGCCCCTTATTAAGCTGGCGAAAAATCTGCAAGGGGTTAATGATCGAAAATTAGGATTCAAGCTTCTCATCGATCGCTAAAACAATTTTAACAAATTAATTGCAATAATAACACCTAAATATACTGAACCAATTGGTCAAAAAAATTACCTTTTGAAATAATTCAATTAAATGACATATTCTTAAAGACACCACTGAATTCAGCGTACCAGAATTATTTTTACTTGATAGGTGGGGCGGTTGTTTTATTTTAACATGTAAAACAATATTTTTGATAGGGAATAAATAAAACATGCTTGTTCCAAACGGACCTCTCTTATGCACTTATCTTTTCGATTAAATATTAAAAATTAGGAATTAGTTTACTTACTGCCATCTCTCGGTATTTGCCACATATAAAGATTAAAATCATCGGAGCCGCTTAGAATGTATTCGTCGTTGTCGCCAGCAAAGCAACAGGTTTTCATAGTGCAAGAATTGTAGTACTGTGGATGGTAAAACTGGCAGATGGCAGTCTCGCTCTGCGTGGCGTAAAGAACTGGCGGCAAGCGACGACGCAAGGCCAGTAGCTGCTTACCGCTGCGGTCGAAGCAAGCGCTGATGCCACTTATTTTTCCGCCCGTTGAATCATATTGAACCAAAACACTGATAAAGAAAAAAAAGTGAATGGGTCTAAGCGTACAGCAAAAGTTTTCTTACTGGGATTGTGTAATAACTTCCTCGTAATCGAATTTTATATATTTAATTCGATAAATAAAAATAATTTAAGCTGTAAGGTATTTTCAAAACCTAAAATACTTTTATCCCAAAAATCATCACAATTTTGTATTTTATGTTTCAAAATAAACTTTTTGTTTAATTTTTATAAGAAAGTTTAGAGTTTAAATGTTTTGTTTACGTTTTCTAAAACTTTTTGTTTTATTAAAAAAAACTCAGAAAAAGGAATTTCTAAAATTTGTTGAGTGTATGTGAAAACCACCACTCGTTTCAGACCCCAACAACTAAACATATGTGCAAAATAAACTTTTCGAAAAAAGCACATTTTTATATAGGTTACTTTAAGGATCCACAAACAATTCATGCCTGTCAAGTAAAAGCGTAGGCGAGTAAAGTATGGAGTTAAAATAAAGGGTGTCCCAACTAGACCACCTATATACCAAATTGGTTGAATTTTTATTACTTTAAAATAAGATATTTTTATTTAAATGGCTTTTATTTAAATTACACCAGTACGCAGTACGCCAAACAAATATTCAGGCCAATTCACTAACATGAGTCGTTAACGTTAACCACTAGAATCAGTGGTTATCGGGCAATCCGGCCAATCGGGCCGTTTAAATATAACGATAACCACTGATTCAAGTGGCTAACGTTAACAACTTAAGTTAGTGAATTTGCCTGATTGATAGGAAAAGAGTGATTAAAGAAATTGAGTCACAATAATTGTGGCTCAATTTCTTTAATAACCACAAAAGTATAAATCACTCTTTTCCTATCAATATTTGTGTGAAAATGTAATAAAAAATACTCGAAAAGAATGATCTATATTAAAATAAAATTAAAAATTATTACTTTAAATTAAATTATGACCTATTTCAAAATTAAAACGTGCGGTCTTGTTGGGACACCCTTTATAATGTTACTATATTCGCCGGAAAGTGACCTTCAACTCAGATATTTCCTATTGAATTTGGTCTACTTTATATAGGCTCTTACTTGACAGACTGTAACGGAAATATCCATCAAGCCTGAAAATCGAATAATACAGGGTGTCTCAAAAGTCAAGCACAGCTAAAAAGGGGCCAATGAAGGGTTTTAAGTCGAATAGTCTTTGCTGTTTTTCGATCAGACCCACCATTAATTAGTTATAATAAAATAAAGTAGTCAGAATAATTAGAGGTGGGGGAACTATAATATGCAGCTTAATCTTAGAAATTGTAGTGAAAAATGACCTTAATTATATGGTTGACATTGTCACTGTCAGTGTTTTAGTTTTTAGGTTAGTTTTAACTTGAGACATTTGTTATATTTTTTTGAGAAAATTGGTGGCCTTAAAAAGGGCCGTTTTTTAAATAAACTTTGGCCCAACTTTATCTTATTAGATGCTTAAAAGTTCCTCCATTTCTCTGCAAGCACATTTTACAACGTTTAATGATGTTCGTTCTGACGTTCTCCACCCTGCTTAAAATACCCCATAGAGACCCTGTTCAAACCGATAGATATTTGTATCGGGATGTATGGTGTTTCCATAGGGTGTATTGGTTTGTATAGGACCCGTAGTTGAGATTTATGGTTGTTCTATAGGGATATCCACCATTGATTTATTTGCTATCGGTTTCAATGGGGAAAATACACATAAATGTAGAAATTAGTTTTTTCCCTATAGGACCCTATAGGTTTTAATAAAATTTTGTCAAATGTTTTATGGTTGCTCTATAGGGATATCCCTATATATCCTTCATTGAGTTATTTTCTATCGGTCTCAATAGGGAAAATGTAAAAGTTATGGTGTGCCTATAGGTAATTTCCTATACATTTTCTATCGGGCTGTATCCGGAAAAACCCATGGACAAATGCATATATAGAATCCGGTAGCGCCCGATAGATTATTTTATATAGGTCTCTATGGGGTATTTTAAGCAGGGCAGCATTTCTGGTGTTATGTCGGCTTGCAATTGAATTCGTTCCAGAGTGTCGAGCTTATCCTTGGGCACGGTTTTGTAAACGACGCCCTTTATGTATCCCCACAAGAAACAATCCAGGGGTGTTAAGTCTGGTGATCTTGGGGGCCACCGAAACGGGTTGTTTTTCCCAAACCAGCGTCGTGGGTACTTAGCATTTACGTAATCTCGGACACGACCGGAGTATTGAGCCGATGCATCATCATGCTGGAAGTACTGAGGACGCTCTCCAACTGAAACTTCTTCGAGCAACCCTGAAAGAACCTCTTGCAAAAATGCCGAGTTTCCCCAATAAATAATCAAAAAATTGTATAATCAACCCATGAAAAGATAAATTGATAATTTGTTTAACTTAGTTTAGCGTTTTTGGTAACTGATATAAAAGAACGGTGTCTCCGATAATACCGCCGCACATATTAATTTCCCACCTGTGCTGAAAACGTTGCACCCTTTCAAAATGTGGGTTTTCATTCGCGTACTGATGCACATTATGGGGATTAAAACACCCCTCACGATTGAAGGGTAATTCGTTAGGGCACAATACATGCCTCAGAAAGTAAGGGTATATATTCAGAATACGATTGCAAAACTCTCTTCTCATCTCGTAAGTTCTATATGTTGTACCTTGGTCGGGTGGTAGGGATGGAGTGCGTTGTCCTTAGTTATGCGGTTAACGGTGCTGCGGGAGATCTCTGAGGCACGCTTAAGTTGGATAGCGCTAGTTCCAGGATTAGCTGCAATGGCCCCAAGAACGCGTTCTTCATTATGAAGGCTGCGAGCTGTTGAATCATGGTTCAAAAACCGATCACGCGAGCCTTCAAATTGTAGTCGATCCTGGCGTGCAGCTTCTGTAGCAGTGTAAGCATATTCGTGATAAATACGGACCATGTCTGCACGTTCTGCAACGGTTTAAGCGCGATGCATTTCAAAAAGTTTTAAGTTTTTTTAAACAAAAATGACATTATTACATGTTCATTCAAATAACCCCAATTAAATAATAATTTTAAAATTAATTATTTTTTATATTACTATAATAATTATTTTTACTTATTTAAAAAAAGTAAAGTATAGTAAATTAATTATTATTAATATTAATAAAATAATTATTTTTTTTATTTAAAAAAAAGTAAAGTATCTGTGGGTAAAAGGCATAAGGGGATAAGTCAAAAAAAGCAATTTTTCTGTAGAGCCTTAAACGCATTCGCATTAATTCAGGAAATATATTTATGGTTAGCGGGTATACCCTTTTGTTAGCCCATGTCATATGCTAAAAAAAGCGTATACCCGCTAAACATAAATATATTTCCTGAATTAATGCAAACACGTTAAAGGCTCTATTGAAAAATTGCTTTTTTTGACTTATCCCCTTATGCCTTTTACCCAAAGGTATATCACCATCAACCTAGGTATTTACTTATTTATTAATTCTCAAGTTAAAAAAAAATACAAAAAAAGGTAGGTACATATTTGTCCCACACAAAAAAAACATTTCTCCTGAACCTAAAAAACCAAAACACTGACTGTGACAGTAAAAAAATAAAATTAAGGTCATTTCCCAATATGATACGTTCATAGCTATGAAATAGCAAAAGGTTTTGTTGTCCCACCTCCATTCCCACCATCATTCTGCTAGAGCACGCCTGTGATTGGATACTTAATTTTATTAATAACTAATTAATGGTGCATCTGATCAAAAAACGGATATCCTCTATCAACCTCTTTTCACTGTCCTTGACTTTTGAGACATCCTGTATACATTGCATATTTGTTTAATAGAAAACCAGATTATACAAAGTAAACCTGTGTAATAAACTAAAATAAAAAATTGTATTTTTGGCCTTACTCTTTTGGTTTTCGACAATCCCATAGGGCGATTCCCTCCTCGGAGTTTGCAGTTACCAAAAATCGAGGGTTAGTAGGATTAAACATCACAGAATGGAATCCAGTCTTTTGTTTCGCCAAACATTGAGCCTCTGCTAAAAAACATAATGTGTGATTGTAAGTTCGTTGACACAATTTATAAATTTTCAGTATTTTTATCTAGATGGTTTTTTATTAAAGGCTCTTTAATCTAAAGGGTGTTTCAAAAATGGCGCAATAACAGTATCTTGCGCTGTAGGGGTGGTTATTTTAAGTATAACAAAAATTACATTATTATTATAAATAATTTTAGTTTAAAAAACTCGGCAACACTGTGTTTTTCTCAGTCGATTTTATAAAAAACAATTGTAATGGAAATAAAATAAACAATGCATTAACAGAGCTGAAATTGACATAATTAACATAAAGAAGATTATATTCAGGAGCTTTAACTTCATATAAATTCGAGGATTAGGGGTCCATAAGAAAATCGCACGTGTACGATTACCGAGAACGCAAAGTTGACTTCTGCATTTCCCCTCCTATCCTTTGCAGAGATAAAGAAGGTATTTTTTAACCTATATTATTTTGTTCATCTGTCAAGCGTCAAACGTGTTAAACCAATTTTTTCAACGCGTCGCTTGGCAAAGCGATGAAGGAGGGGAAGTGTACAATAGGGTGTGTCATTTTAAATGACACACCCTATTATACACATTTATATTAAATTGGTGTCAAATGACGACCTTAAAAAGCATATAAAATTTCATTATAATCTAAATTCATCTTCTGCCTCCGGATCCTTTTTAAAGTTACCAGCAATCACTAAATAAATGTATAATCTGTAGTTTGTGCACATAAATTAAAATACTAAGATCGTAACTTGCCATTTATTTATTAAAGACTATTTCACTAGACTATTTTTAAGTAATAAAATGTCATAGTAACGGCACGTTTTCTACTGACAAAACTCCTGCCCGTGATTTCTCAGCGACAAAATTATGGTTTGGTTCTTCTATTGTTGTCAGTTTGACAAACAATAAAATTAAAGTTGTTTTGATATTAATACAAATCCGTCACCAAGGTGTTTTATACTTCTATTGTTGCCAGTTTGACAAACGTTATTGTGAAATAATGAATCCACGCGCAAATTCACGAACAAATAAAAAAATTAGTTTCAGAAAATATCCCATTAAATAAAGGGTGTCCAATTAAGAGCGCTCTAAGTTTAAAATGAAATAAAACCAACTACACTTAAGATATTAGGAAAAAAATTTATTTATTTAAAAGAACATCCTATGGCATTCATTATGAAAAATAACATCTTTCAAATGCCCCCCGCAGCTGCGCTTCACAGCGCGCATTCTGCAGGTCCAATTTTCTATCACTTTTTCGCACATTTCGGGTTCGATTTCATTTACATATTATACGAGTTATGTTGGCCTTCAGTGCTTCAATTGTTCGTGGCTTACTCACGTACACAAGGGACTTTACGTAGCCCCACAAAAAAAAGTCCAGCGGCGTTAGATCGCATGATCTCGCCGTTGAATTTTTCATGCGGCGGCGATATCCAGTGGCCACCGAGATCATTCAACTTTTTTTTGTGGGGCTACGTAAAGTCCCTTGTGTACGTGAATAAGCCACGAACAATTGAAGCACTAAAGGCCACACGGTGCTGTTCTGAGAGGTAATTTTTGGACTTTCTGTGAAACCTAATTTTTTTTTATATTCTTTATAATTAGGTCATAACTAACATTTAAAGAGCAAAATAAAAAAAATTTGACGGTTTGAATTGTTTTAATTGGCTGTTTATTAAAAATATTATGCACTCTTTCAATTATCCAATTAAAACTAGCGATTTAATTTAAATATTTAATATTTGCATAACTAAAAAAAAGGTTTTTACATTTTTTTTATATATTTTACTGTTTTGTTGCAATAAACGTTCAAACTTTTAATCTAACCTTTGACGTATACATTTATGTTCCCTTAATTAATATATCCTTAAAGGTTGCCATGAAACTTAGATCTATTAAAAATTTATTTGACGTTTGAATTGTCATTTTCAGTATACGTATTCTATAATTTTTGTTTAGTTTTTTAAAGTGTTTTTTATAAACAAAAATGAAAAATTGTAGTGAAAGTTACGAAGAAATTCATGAAATTTAACTAAGGACCGGTTTATTCATCTTTAGTAAAGTTTATCGGGCCGATAACTTTCATGTCTTGGCAATATCTAGTATCCAAAGAAATTATTCGTCAAATAAATCAAAAATGAATAAATCGGCCCTAAATAAAATGTGGCACCCTTAGAATTATTGTTTAATAAATGTATACTATACATTTAACCTTAAATTAAAACTTTAAACGTAAATAAGAACAAAACAGTAAAAGATATAAAAAATGTATAGACCTTTTTTTAGGAAATTAACTAATCTTTAATCTGATTTAAAAAGTTATGATAATATTTAAATAAAATCGCAAGTTTTAATTGGAGAATTGAAAGTGTGCATACATATTTTTAATAAACATCCAATTAAAACAAAATTAACCGTCAAATTTTTTTTATTTTGCTCTTAAAATTTTAGTTATGACCTAATTAACAAGAATATAAAAAAAAATTAGGTTTCACAGAAAGTCCAAAAATCACCTCTCAGACCAGCACCGTGGCCAACATAACTCGTATAATAAATGAAATCGAACCCGAAATGTGCGAAAAAGTGATAGAAAATTGGACCTGCAGAATGCGCGCTGTGGAGCGCAGCCGCGGGGGGCATTTGAAAGATGTTATTTTTCATAATTAATGCCATAGGATGCTCTTTTAAATAAATATATTTTTTTCCTAATATCTTAAGTGTAGTTGGTTTTATTTCATTTTAAAGTTAGAGCGCTCTTAATTGGACACCCTTTACTTAGAGGTCGAGAAGCTCTATTTGGACCCAATTCTCAGAATTCCTACGGGTGAGAAATTTTACACTGGAAAACTGTTCTACCGCGACGGAACTAGCAAAAATTCTGGAAGATTACGCCTTTAATATGAAAAAATGCAATGGCGAAGGCTATAAAGAGTCGTCTGTAAAGTCTATGTGGAATTCAACTGGCCAGAGATACCAAGCGAAGGCAGCTTCAAAGTTGTCCAGAAAAAAAAAACTTAGTTCAAAAGCATTATCCACCGAAGAATTTTTAAAAATGATCCAAAGCTACGACGAAGAAACCCCCGATAGAGCACAAAAAAAGTTTTTTCACCTCTGCTCATATGAACTTGCTTGGAGAGGCAATGAGGCCGTAAACTGCAAGATTCACTTTTTCCAGAAGGAATTTAATAATATGGGAGAATGTACGGGCCGAATTGAATACAACAGCATTTTTTAGAAAACAACTCAAGGCGGGTCGAAAAGTTTGGCAAGCAGCAAATGGTTAGTAAGAAATAGATAGATAGATTATTCTTGAAATTAATGGAAAAAAGAGGACCAAATATTTTATCAGACAGACTTTTTCTTACCGTTCACCCCAACTTGAAGAATGGATCTTGGTTCAAAAACTGTCCACTTGGAATCAACATCGTATCTAAGTGGACAAAGATGTCAGCTGAAAAAATTGGAATAGACACAAAAAAACATAAAATAACAAACCATTCGCATCGATCTTCAGCTGTGTCAGCCTTGTTTAAGCAAGGTGTTGCTGAACAGGAGTTAATTAAATTAACGGATCACTCAAATGCAAGCTCCCTAAAACCATACCTGCAGCTGGATTCTAGTCACGTTGATCGAAAATCTCCGAACAACAAATGAAGCTGGACCTTCGCGTTCCCACATGCTACAGTTCAATAATACACAAAATCGTGCTTTGGTAGAAAAGAATGGGCAAACTACCATAACTTATAATAATTGTACATTTAATATTAACAAATAAATTAAGATTACATGTTTCGTTAATATGGTGCATTAATTGTCTTGTTTTTTCTCGTGAAATAGTCTTGTCGAATATCACTCGAGAGAAAATTTTTACCGGCAAAATTTTCTTCTGGTTTCATTGTTGCTTTTTGGCAATTTTCGCTCATGAAATTTTGACAAAATCCCTCGACTGACGTCTCGGGATTTTGTCAAAATTTCATTCTCGAAAATTGCCAAGCAACAAACTTTCATACCTATCGAAAATTTTGCCGGCAAAATTTGTTCTCTTGTGATATTATACAGTGCTTGCAATATCAAGTCCGACCTCACTGGAAAGGAGTCCTGGGTAACCCATCGCGCACCTCGCAGCGTGCTTGACACGAGGATATCAGAACGAGAACTGCAGTGGTGCCAGCAAGAGGTAGTAATTTTAGTAAAAAAGATTATTTAATTAAAAAATGTACACGTTGGAACAAAAAGTTCAGATTTTAATCTGGCATTTTGCTGGTAATTCTGAACGAGAAATTCAAAGATTATTTGCGGGAATGTTCGAGGCCAGACCAAACAGAGAAACAATTCGACGAACCGTTAATAATTTTCTCACGCACGGTTGTGTAGTTCCGATGCAGCTCCAACGGGAACGTCCTCCCTGTAAAAGTCTAAATAGAGAAGCGCGGGATACTTTAATTTGCGCGTCAATTGAAGAAAACCCAACCCAGGCATTAAGTACGGTGGCTAGGGAGTTTGATATTTCAGCTTCCACAGCACGAAATGTGCTAAGACGCCATGGATATCGTCCATTTAAGCTGCGACGGGGAAACGAGCAATTCCCTGCCGATGCATTCCGCCGCATGGAATTTTGCGAGGTTGTTATGGAGAGAGCAAATGCCGACCCAAATTTTATCGGTAATATTTTATTTACTGACGAGTCGACATTTACTCTCCATGACAGGCACAATTCGCAGAATGTTCGAATGTGGGCGCGAGAAAATCTTCGTAGGATTTATGCAGCTCGGACACAGTATCCCCAAAAACTTAATGTCTGGGCGGGTATTTTGGGCGACCGAATAATTGGCCCATTTTTTATAAATGGGAATTTAAATGGCGCTAGGTATTTAAATCTCTTAAGAGACCAAATAGTTCCCGCGTTTCAAAATTTAGACGGAGTTAACATCGAAAACGTATGGTTTCAGCAGGACGGTCGCCCCGCACATAATACGATGGCT